CACGACTCGTTACTTCTATTTCATGTTAATAGAAACTCAATAAAATAGTGAAACTAAAGTCTAATGATTTATTCGAATATTTAAAAGCTTAAGAAATATTTTTTCTGGGTATAAATTATATAAACAAGTTAGTAGTCTTAGAAAGAGTCTCAAAGCCAAGCTAGCAGTCTGAGAAAGACCAATATTGATCTTGGAAACTCGGTTGATGGTTTAATCAAGCACATCGGTTGTTAGAGAAACTTCAGGAAAACATGTTTAGGCAGTAAAATGAATAACTTTAACTGCCTACACGTAATATTAATCGTTAGGGCAAAAGTTTTGTTTCTAGTTTCCTTCATGACTAAAGTAACGCAACAGCCGAAAAGCAAACACCATGAAGAAATTCACAAAGAAGTTCAAATTCCTCTAGTCAAAATTAAATTTGTAGATTTGCTGTTATAATCTTGTACAGCCCACTATTCTAAGTGTTTAAATCCTGCAACCGTAAAGACAGTCAAACGAATTATCAATCCATCTTAACTTATAAGTAGAATGGCACCAACTCAGAAAGGTTTAAAATAAACTTTTCTATTTACACATCAGCTTAATGGTTTTACAACATGTTTAATAGCAGAAAATTCTTCAACTGCAACAATAATTTCAACGCCAGAAAATTAGAACAAACGCTCAAGTAAAATTAAAATAGTAAATGCAAACAAAGCAGGCCTACGCTGAGGCCCTCAAACGTTACAAAGGAAAGCTAAAGTAATTTATTTGGAGAGAGACGTAATAGACGGATGGTAAATGAATAGCTACCAAGGTTCTCTCTCGAACTCAAGAACTGCGTTTAAATACATTAACTAATTTGCATCCTGATGGGATCCGACGAATGTAGAAGTGAAATTATAGAAAAAATAATAAGATAACTGGTTAAGTAACACCAAACCCTCCATTATAATGTTTGTTGTATATACAGCTTTGAGAAAGTTACCTGGTAACGTGTGATTAACATAGTATTCTAATTTTTAGTTCATGAATCTGTTTTTATTATACTCTATCTGAAATTACACGAAATTTTACACAGTAATTTTAAAAGAAAAATAGATTGTGTTCTATGGTTATTCATTTTCTAAGAACACAAGATGATAACTGATTACTGATTCATGATTATCGGCTTCGCAAACCTAACGCATTTTCAAACATTCTAGCACGGTATAATAATTCATAAGATTAATTTCTCTGAAATAAATGATAAATGGGGAAGTGATAAATTTTCAGATTAAAAATTAATCTTATGTCATTCGTTCGAATTACGCTCCGTTAAAATCTCGCAGAAATTCATTATGGTTTAAGTTGATAATTCGTTTGTGCAGAAGTTTAACTCAAGGTCAGTAGAGGAACAAGTTAAGCTCTTCGCAACGTTGACGTCACTTACGTACAGAAGTAAGAGAAACAAAGACACAAGAAGAGTAGAAAAGAAGCTGCTTTTGAGCAGACCAGCAGTCACTGACGTCATACAAGAGCAAAATACGCTGTACAGTAGTCTTAACTTGCATTCTAAATTTCTAGGGATTTTTTTTAATTAACTGTTTAAATCTAAAAGAACTTAACTTATTTAATTAATAATGGGAGGAAAGTTCTAAAGGCATTACTTAATAACTCTCCAAAAGTTCATTATTTCTTTTAAATTTTAATCCTAAAATTTTCAGATATTATAATTTTATCTAGCTTAAATAAGTTTCATTCTGAGAAAGACTTAAGTGTTAAGAGTAATTGTTTTGCTTAGTATTGCCAATTAAAATAGAATTTAGCACATTTTCTTTTAGAAATTTCTAAAGAATATATCTTCAGACTTTAAGCAAGATGTGCCAAGAAAGGAAAAAAAAAACCCTCTTTTTAAAAGAAAGATTTCTAAATTCCTTTGAACTCCCAGGAATATGGAATAAACGAAATTCAAAAGTTTTTTTTTGAGCAACGTTCATTCCACTGTAACCTTTCTCGCAGGGGATGGGAAGAGGGTTGCTTTCCGTCGGCAAGTTTAGTCCGAGTTGAGTTTTCGTTACTGAAAATTCTTTTCATTTTGCGTTGCTTTCTTTTTCAAGGGAGTTCATAGAAATATGAGAACCTTCTTTTTCTTTTTAATAAGAAGGCTGTTGTTCTCCGCTCTTTCCTGACACGTTCTTCTCACTTTTATCTGTCTACCCCATCGAAGGCTGTCATAGACCACCACTTTTGTTGCCGTCTCCCATCTGTATTTTTCGACAACTTTGGTTATTCGGTGCTTCGTTCTTTACATCTTCTGTACATTATTAGAAAAATGGTGGACTTACTTGCCTTAGGTCAGGATTTGTCCTCGTAAAGCTCCGGTTAGGCTATTAGGCATGTAGTTGCTAGTTCATTTATCGCTGGGCTTAGTTCCGTTAACGCCATGTCTGAACTCGAACCGCCTAGACTGTATAGTGGTTAGGAGAGCCGACTGCGATACCGAAGAGCCTGGGCTCAAATCCTGGAGAAGGCATGGATGTAAATTACCTGTCCCCTCAAAGGATGGAATGCTGGCCGCCTATTTAGGTGCCTCCACAATAAAATGGCCAACACTTTTGGCCTTAGGCGTGACCAACGCTGAAAAAGGCAAGTGTCCGCCATTCAATAAAAAAAAAGTGTCTGAGTTCGATGTTTACGGTTATGGACAGCGCATGAGGTTTAAGCTTTGTGAGTTCGGAGATATGTATCCTTACATATTCCAACGGTTATCATCTGAATGAGGTTGTCGATTTGTCCCTTATCTTAACGACGATAATTCCCAGATGCTGACTTGCAGGCTGGATGAGGGAATCAACTGTCGTCCAATGACAGCGTTCGGCTGCTGAAACAATCCGAGGCTCCGCGCTTTTAACTACAATGGTTGGTCAGAGACTGACTTTTTTTTTTGCGGAAGAATGCAGGGAACATGTGCAATTAAATCGCGATTTTTTCCCTTACTGCTTGTTGTATTTTAACATCCGTTCCACCAAAATCATAGAAATTCGAAATAAATAATTAAGCTTAATAAAATATTAAGCTTGAGAAAATGCAGGAAGATTTAGGCTGTATTTTTCCTTGATTGCCTCAGAAGTAATTAATTAAGACAAGCTTCTAAGAAGGACAATAAGCTGTTTGGATTGAAACAGAATAAAAGTATTTAACTTTTAATAACTTGTAACAATTTAAATTTTATTAATATACAAACAAAAATGAAATTAATGCCTTATACTTTTTATGTAATTCCTATGCCCTGGATGTTTTGTTATGTTCTGTCCTTTAAAAAAATGCTCCGTTGGCAAAAATAAAGTGGTGTTTTGTTTATAACGTCTCAAATTTATTTTAGTTCTGTTATTCATTGCAGCCAATTAGCAACAGACATATCGATCAAAGTCATTTTTATTGAAATTTTGTTTGGTAATTTAACGCAACTAATGCACATAACAATAGCAAAGAGTAATTTGCCACGTAAATGGAGTTACAGTTATATAATTTTCTTTCTAAACAATATTTACATTGCTTTCTCCTACCTAACAACCTGATGGTTAGATAGTTTTCTTTATAGTACTAATTCTTTTCACTATATAAATTAATTAAAATTTTATGATTACCTGTTTTCTTAATACTACCATAACAACTAAATAGAAACATTTAGCTGAAAAATATTAAAGGAGTATCTTGCAAATTAACAAACTAACACACTTAAACTCTTTTGATGTTTACGATGCTTTTTGAGGATATTTACAAAATTTTTGGAGGGGAGTTATATTATGTACGGCTATATTAACTTACATCAAATATTTCTAATGCAAAAAACCTTGATCTATCGTACACCAATAACCGAGAACAGTTTTCTTCGGTTAAGATATTCTTAGGTTTACTCTAATTTTAACAACCTAGCTAAAGTAAATAGTAGCGTAGTAAATTTATTTCACAATCCAACACTCGGTGAAGTATTAGCAGTCGACCTATAGGCTGACCTCCAGTACCTATAGGTCAGCAATGACCAACTGCTTTGGCGTATGCTAATGGTTTTCGAGAAAATTTTAGTTTAAAAATTTTACTTTAAATATTTATCTAAATTTACTGCACTGCCATATACTGGTGATGGATGAGTTGCCTCACTTCACCGCCCACACTGGTAACGTAGGCTTTACTTTAAGCGACCCTCAGTCTGTAGGTCTTTTAGGACTAACGGCTTTGAAAGCTATAAGTGCATTCCGGCTTAGTTTCAATTCGAATATTAATCTAAATTTACTGCACTACAGCACTGTGGGTTGGTCATAACTGGTCTTCAGCTTGTATTTACCAGTGACAATCGTGACGGAAAGCGACATGCTTCAGTTAAATTTTAATTTAAAATTTTATCTAACTAAACAGCACTTATTCATTACGATACTGTAAGTGAGTCTCATTTTGTAGGTCATCGTTAATCACAGCCGTAAAGGGATTCGATAGGCTTTGTTTTACTTCAGTTTAAATATTTATTTAAATTTAATGCATTGTCTCCATTCGTGACCTGTGGGTCCAATTGGTGACCTACTCTGAACCTATACATTACGGTGACTAGCGGTTTGACGGGGTACCGACTTAATTTTAACTAAGAAATACTATTTACATTTACTGCACCCTCTCTCATCAGTTGTCCTGCGGGTTCACCGCAAATGACTGTCAACCGTATGTTTTCGGTTGACAGTTTGGTTGACCTTGATGGACATCTACCCCTGCAATTGTTACCTGGAAACCCCTGTAATTGTGTTAGGTACTTGTGTTCGGTTTATTTTAAATTTTAAATGCTATCTAAGTTTTGCGCACTTCCCCACACATGTTATTTATTATTTGACAATTAATGACTACTAATATGTAGATAATTGGAGACCAGTGTCTTTCAGTTACCTTCGATTTTATTTTGTTTTAATAATTTACCTAAGTACAAGGTGTTCATAATTAACTCACCACATAAAGCTGCATTTTAAAAAATACAGAATAAGAGAAAGGGAAAAAAGAACTGGTAATTTTATTTAGCACTTTAATTTCATATTTAATACACATGAACATGAGCAACTTTAGTTCCTCGGAAATATCAAGTTTAAAACAAAACAAAAGAGAAACACGGCAAAATGAAACATAAAAATAACAAAGCAACAAACTTGTGTCTGGCGTAGATTTAGTCAAGAACTCAATAGATTTTGAAGGTAAACAGGTACAAGTCCCTCTTTATCAGGAGCAAAGAAATCTGCAAAGCTGGGAAGTCTTGTAGACTACTTCGCTGTTGGGAAGAAAGACCTTTTCATAGCAGAACTGCTCTCCTGGGAAGAGTACTGTTTTCGGAGATTTCTCGTAACCAGAAAATGCATAATGCTCGTAACCGCAAATGACTGTACTTTTTGACTGCATAACGACATTTTGTCTGTAAACAAACAAGTTCCCTGCTGCCATTCCTAAAAATTAGAAAAATGATATTCATCGAACTAAAGGTTTTTATGGCGATATAAATTATTTCCGGTTATTTCGTAAAATTACGCTTAAATTTAATTTTGGTATACCATGATTAAATTATGGACACGCTGATCTGTAAGTTTAGATATGTATAATTTACAATATACTCGTGCGCAATTGATAAGTTGTTTTAACATGTATAGAATTATTTAAATTAATAAAAAATGCTTCTAAGAGCGTATACTCTGTACTTGGACCAGAACTGTTTTTATGTTAGTTTTATTTTATTAATTTTCCTTATGATAAATGCAGGCTTAAATAAATTTAAAATTACTCAACAATTAGAATATTAAATTATTATTCTGCACATTCTTTCATATAATAGAATAGAAACAGATTATAAGTTTTGGCTTAAAAATGGAGATTAAATTAGTTATAATTCCTAAGTTCCTTAAGAAATAAAACTTAAGTTTAAGAAAACGTAAAAAAGAAAATTTAGGAAGTGAGGCTCAATTCGCATTTCTTCCAGCTGCATTATTCACTTGAAAAGCGAGCCTTTGAAAATCATAACAATAATCCTTTAAATTATAAGAATAAGTTGACTGTTTGTAAGGAATCAATATTTCACAGGAAAACACCTGGTTGTCCAACATTTACAAGCAGTTTAAATTTCTAGTACAATATTGGGAACTATACATAATATTCAAGATATCGTAATACTAATAACACACAACTGTACATCTGTTCAACTACTGGTCGCAGAATTCTACTTCGTCCATTTTCAAAACAGAATTATAAATTTATTGCAAGCAACAATAAATACAGTTGAGCACGGTTAGGTAACAGTTAACGTCTTGGATTCACAAAATGCTCCTCACCTTTTGGAGATGTCCCTACTCCCTGTTCCCAGTTATATTTACTAAGACGTAGAGTCTTCTGCGAAACATTCACAATTGCCTGAAAACTTCCCCTTTTAAATTCTTTTAATGTAAAATAGAACATGAGCTATAAAATTTGTTGATGTTTGAATTTAAAAACTGCAGATTTAAATCTTGAAATTAAATACAATCAAAAAGTATTTCAAAAACCGTTTAAATCGATTCGACCTACATAATTTAAATAATTTATAAATGTCAAGCTTTATTTCACATTCCTTTCAAGAAAAGGAGCATCAGTGCTTTTCGTGGAACAACGGAAAGGGTTTTTCTTGATCACAGCAACAATTTTCTAATGAACCATTTAAAAGTTAAATGCTGATTGATGGCTGAAGTAATATTTCCAATAGGTTTTTTTTTACGCTAAACTAAATTTTTAATAATTTCCAAAATTTAACTTTTATTTGACATTTTGCAATTCCTATCGATTTTATGATGAATCCATACGTATCTTATTCATATGAAACTCGAGTTCACATTGATTATTCATATGAGGTTCACATGAATATATGAATGAAAATCATAAACTTGTCATACAGTCATAAAACTTGTGATCAGTTGCGTGCTGTACTTGCATTGAGCAACTAAAACACGCACCTAAAGAATGTTTATTGGATTATTTCCCTACTTTAAATATAATAAAAATAATGTTTACATTAGTGCATACATTTATGAAACCAACTTTCCGTAGAATATTAAACGTCGATCGATTTTTTCTCAATAATTTTCCGACACGACTGACTGTACTTGCAGACACTCTGTCGCCAGTTTAATTCGACTGAATGCAAAAACTGCGTGGAAAATGAGCTTAAGTACTTCAAACGGAAAGAAAAATAGACCGTGACAAATGTCCGCACGTGACTCAACCCTTGACCTAAGCTTAATCATGAGAGCTGCTGTCTATGCCAGATATTTTAGCACTTTTTTAACACTTCTCATAAACACAATAAGCATATGCGTAATTTGCGAAATGCCATTTCTTAAAGTGAATTCAGCAACAAACAAAATACAAATGAATAAAATGTGCAAATTGTCTTTTCGTTTCACTATCACAAAGTATTTGCACTTAAAATAATTCACATAACTACCCGTAACTTAAAGAAAAATAAGGGCAAAACAAGTTTTAAAATATTTTTATTTCGTGTGAACCGGTATTATTATTGAGCACTACAAACCATGAACTTATTTACATAAAGCTATAAATAAATTTATTGTACTTCACTTTATTTATAAAAAGATTTGAATTTAATTTTTAAAAGTAAATTCGAAGTACTGTGTCCTTTTCACTGATGTTTGAATATGATTCCAGTCAAAGTTGGTTTTAAGTTCAAATATACAACTGTTTCAACTAATGTGGGTTTTCAAATAGTTATTTTTTATTTAATTTATTTAACAAAAGCTTAATACTCTCAGCTGCGAATTTTGTGTTTAATTTCAGTTCTAGATTTTTAAAGTTTATTTTAATGAATCCGTTATTTCTTACATTAAATCACTCCTGCGCTTCTAATGTTTCATTTGTTCCTCCAGAAAATGTAAATAAAGGGAGTTTAAATAACAAGCGAAACTCTAAGTGTATAGAGAGAGTTTACAATCTCAGCTTGCCGCGATGGAACTCCTCTGTTAATACCTATCCTTAGGGCTGATGAATTCGAATGAAATTATTTCAATCATCTCTGGGTTACAGAACCAGACTGTTTTTTAGACTTAAACTGAAATTTGTAAAGAATTTGAGTCTCTGGGACCAGACCCGAAGAAAAGAAGTTAATTTTATCATTTCAGTTTCCTGTAATTCAAGCTGAAATGAATATACAGTTTTTAGTTTGCTTTTACTCTGTTGCTGTTATTTGGGCATTCTAGGTGTGAACGTAAAGCCTAGATGATAATTCTTCTGGTGCTCTAGGAAGTTCAGACTAGTGTACAGACTAGGTAAAATAGAATTTAACGTAACACATTCACAAGTTTTATTTCTGCTTATATTTAAAGCATTTATTGTTTGGATGAACAGCTTTGGCTCTTAATGGTGTTATTTTTTAACAAGTTACGATTTCGAATAACTTAAGTAACAGAATTAGAAAAATATAGGACAGTACTTCCCTAAATATGGATTCAGAAAGGCTGCGAAAACAAATTTTGGCAAGAGAAAAGTAAATAAATGTACAGGACAATCGCTAAATGTGGCAATAGGTTTTGTTTTGGTGAGAGTTGTAAGGAATTTTCTCCTTTCGTTCCGCTTGCCTTCGTACTGTCGGCTAGTAAGCAAGAGGTTCGAAGTTCGAATCCCGAGGAGGGCATTTGAAAATTTCCATTTAGGTAAACGAAGTTTTTTTTTTTTTTTTGATAATTCAGCCACTCATCAGTCTAGTTGTTGCTGCTATCAGACATGGTTAGTCTTCAATATTTAATATAAAAAAACAAGATTCATATTACCATATTCATATCTTCATCAACCCCTTTATCTTATTTTCTATAATATGCAGTATACAACATAATTATGATACAAATAATACCACAAAAATAAGGATAACAATTAGACTAAGAATATAAACAAAAGTTTCGAAAAAAAGGGATATATTCGATTTATGTTTTATTTTTTGTGTCATTATTATTTTTAGTTTCAAAAATATGAACAAGTATACAGAATCAAAATCGCGGATTTCAGCTGCACAAATGTTTTCGATTTTAATTCGAAACACCTTCATTTAATGAAGCTACATTTGGAGTTGTTCATAATTTCATAATTTTCATAATATTTAATATTTTTCTTAATATTTCATATTATTTAAAAGATTGGGTGCTCTTAAAAAGGCCTTTTTCGAACTTGAAAAGAACAAACGATAAACTCAGCATTTACAGATCACTTTCGTATTTCCACATTTCTAAAGCTCTGTGTTATTTAATGATGTGTTAAAATTTGAATTTTGTCTTAGAAATAAACATGCGGCCTCTCGAATACTCAATTTCAATTAAGCTGCAGGCCAATTAAACTGATAAACCTCTTTTTAAACTTCTTCAGTCTTATTCTTAACAAGGCGGGTAACCCTGATACCTCAGGAATTTGGACAATGTGAACCCTTTAAAAGTATTTAGTCTACACTAACTCAGAAATACACAGGTAATTAGGTTAACTGGTATGAAAACATTTTTTGTTCAGGAAGGACTATTTTCATGAAGAAAATTCTAAAGAAATAGGCTTATAATACCTCCTATACTTAAGAAAACAATCAATTATCTATAGGCTAAGCAAAGAGACTATGAAGCTAAGCATGTTTAAATTTTATTATAGTCCTAAAAGTGTATGTTACATTGTATTGAGGGAAAAGATCTCAGTATACATAATTAAAAAAATGATATTCGTATGACTTCGCTTTTTAAACATGCTGTAATTTAAAATCTTCTTGAATATATTAATACTAAAACTCTTCTGAGCAGAAAGTACTTATCAAATCCTTTTCATAGTGGTAATAAGCATAAGTGTTTATATGAAAGAGATAATTTTGGCTTTGCTTTTACGTACACAAAAGAAGAAATCATTTAAACACATACGATCAATTAAAATACAAAATAAATCTTTCTCAAAGAGAAAAAAATGGCTTTCAAATAATTTAAACACGAACCGAGATTCATCATTCTTCGCAGACAAATAAAAAGTGCCTTTTGAAGAAGAAAAATGAAATTCTGAATTAAAATGCTTGTACTGATATTACACTTAGTTTGAAGCTACTAAATTTTCAAGGGATGCTCGCGAAAACTAATTAGGTGGTAATTAAAATCTGAGTTTCCTATCAGCTTAATATGCAAGAATGAAAGAAATTGGGAAGCATTTGAAATAATTACTGAGAAGGGAGATGCAAAAAATCACCTCTCTTTAAAGGCACTCCTCCAATTCAGAAGCTAAATATACTGAATTCACTAGCTAATATATTTAAAATTTGTCAATATTAAACGCGGATTTTTGTTTGTTGAAAATACTTTGATTTAACTTTCCTTTTATTATTCAGCCTCAACTAAAGTCAAAATATTCTATAATATTTTATTCGGAAAATCTGAATGAATCAACAATAACTTTA